AATCACGATCTCAATGCGAATGTTTCATAGCGGTCATTCAGGGACATTTTGAGACTGTATTAAATGTTTTTTAAATTTGTATTTGAAATTATCGATCGATAGGTCAAACCAATTAGGATTCCAAATATTAATATAATTTAATGTGTCAGAAATATTATAAGAGAACGAGCGCTTATACACTTCTTTTTTGTGAGTAGGGACACTCAATAGTAATTTCCTTCTCAGATTCAAATTGTGAACGTCCGTTCTATAACTCAAATGTTCATGTAAGTAGGGAGGAGTCTTAAACTTGACTATTTTAAAGAAAGTACAAGCTGTATGGAGACGTCTGCGGTTGATCATATTAAGCCAGTTCAAATCTTTCAGTTTATGTGAAATTCTATTCCTAGTTCTTATACCAAAAATAAGTCTCATACAAGAGTTTTGTAGTTTTTGAATGCGCTTTGTGTCATTGCTATCTAAACATTTGTGATATACCACGTCGCAATGATTGAAATGGGACAGAACTAATGAATCACACAATGTTTTTTTAACTTCCGTATTCAAAAATTTCCTTTGTGGGTATATTAATTTCAGAGATGCGTAAGCTGTTTTGAGTTTGTAGGTTACATGTTCTGTGAACTTAAGCTTGGAGTCTATAACAAGCCCTAAGTTTTTAGAGTGAGTCTTGAAATTTATTCTGGAATCTCCGATTTTGAGTTCATAGTTATTGGCCTGCTCACGAACGTTTTCGTTTCCAAATATCATGGCAATTGACTTCTTCGGATTGATTCTCAACATGTGATCTGTGGATACCTTCAGAATTGCTTCCAAGTCACTATTAATACGATTTACGGCGTCTTCTAGGTTTAGGGGGTCAAAGGAGAAATATATCTGAGAGTCATCTGCGTATAAATGGTAGTTGCAAAATTTCAATCTCTTGGTGAAAGTGGAAGTGTAGATGGTGTAGAACAGAGGGCCTAAAATGCTGCCTTGTGGTACCCCAGAATTTATTTCCTGCCAATTAGAACATGTATCACTTATGACGACCTTTTGTTTTCGATTATGCAAATAAGATGAAATTAACGCACTTGATGCATCGCTGAATCCAAAGTAATGCAACATGGAAAGTAATATTTGGTGATTTATGGTATCGAATGCTTTCGAGTAGTCCAGTAATATTAAAATTGTTACTTTGCTTGCATCAAGAGCTTTAATTATGTCATCCACTATTTTTAATGTTGCTGTTGCACAGCTATAGCCACTTCTGAAGCCTGATTGTTTCACTGGCAGTATGTTATAAGAGTCGACATAAGATCTGATTTGATTTTCCATTACTTTTTCCAGAATCTTTGAAAATGTTGGTAGAATGCTTATTGATCTCAAGTCATTATAACTTTGAGGATTACTATTCTTTGCTATGGGTATTACTCTTGCGTTTTTCCACACACTGGGAAAATAGTTTTGACTTATACATTCATTTATAATATGTGTAGTTATAGACACCAGGAGAGGTCCACAAAGGTTGATGATTGAGATATTTATACTATCATCACCATAGGCTTGCGTTTTTATATTATTGATTAATTTAGATATTTCAGTTTCATTAGACAATGAAAAGGTGAATGATTCATTCAATCCTTCTTTTCGGTTAGAATTATAAAAATTTATTAAATGTTCATTTGGTACATCCTCATTCATGGAAGATCTTAAGAAAAAATTATTCATATCTTCGGCATTTTTCAGTTGTTCTGGTATTTCTTTGTTTCTACCCTTGGTAACACTCAATTTCTTAAGTTCTTTCCATTTACTCTTGATATCTGAGTTGTTCAATTTAAAGTTTAAGTAAGCTTTTTTTTCTACTTTTATGGCTGTGTTGGTCAAGTTCCTCAATTCTTTATAGTATGTCCAATGCTGTGGAAGTTTCGAATTTTTGAATCTAGCTAATGCCCTATTTCTAAGTTTTTGCATCAATTTAATGTTGTCGGTAATCCAGGGGGTGTACTTGAGGTTTTTTGGTGAGCATTTTTTTTCTGGCGCATGTAGATCAAGAATTTGCAATATAAATTCATTTACGAGAGAAACTTTGCTATCAATATCGACAGTGTCATAGATTAAAAACCATGGTAGATTTGCCAAGTCGCTTCGGAATCTATCAATGTCTATGTGTTTGAGATTTCTGTATGTAACCTTGGTATTTTGTGAATTTCTATCCTCACCGATTTGGAATTTTGCCTGTATTAATGCATGGTCAGATAAATCACATTCTGTATTATTTACCTCGGAAATATTTTCACAATTCGTTATAATCAAGTCTAATAATGAAGAACATGTACTGGTTATTCGTGTAGGTTCACTAACAATTTGTCTGAAATTGAAAATTTCCAAAATTGAGGAAAATCTATCTGTATAATTTGAATTGAAATCCAGCATATTTATGTTGAAGTCACCCATTAAAATAATATCATTGTGACTGGAGAAGATATTCGTGAAAACTTCTTCGATTATATCAAAGAATGGTGAAATGTTCGAGTTAGGTGGTCTGTAAACAACGCCTATAACAACGGAACAGTTTTTTTCGATGAAAATGTTCACCCATATACACTCTATATGCTCGTTACATTCGCTGAAAATGATTTCATATTTATAGTTATTTTTCAAATAAAGGCCAACTCCTCCACCTCTGGTAGGCCTGTCCTTGCGCAAAAAAACATACTGATTAAGACTTACATTGTTGTTGTCTATACCTGAATGCATCCATGTTTCTGAAATTCCAATGGCATCATAATCCGCATCGAGAATGTGATCTTGAAAGTCATTGAATTTCGCTGGTAAAGATCTAATATTTATGTGACATACGTTCAGCATACTCTGAAAATATATTGAAAAGAAAGTGTAGGAGAAAAAGGGAAATGAAAGAAGCAAAAAGAGAGAGTAAATACTTGTTATATAGAAGATAGAAAATGTAAGGAGAGAAAGAAAAAAAAAAACTCAATCGCCCTAAAAAATTGGTCAACAATAGCGTGACACATGTGGCATTCCTGCTCTAACAATACTATTTTGCAACATGTTATATAAATGAAAAAAAAAAAACCTTCCGCATATATTCAATTTGGTTAGAGTGATATTTATGTAAATCAGGAAAAAAAAATCATAATTTTTTCAACAAATCATGCAGTCGTGTAGCATAAACAAAAGCACAAAAAAAATAATGAATGAATAATATGATCATTCACGTATTCCCACCAAAAATTTATAAAAATAGCATTGCATTAATTTCATCAACTTCAACTTGATAAAAATAAATAGAGTAAAGAAATTACAAAAACTAATATCTATTATGAAAAAAAAAGAAAAATACCCCATTTTGAACTATATGAAATGCGATGACCGATATGCAAAAAGAAAATAAACCTTGTTAATTCCCACATAGTTCTTTCAAGTGGCTTTCATCTTTTATACGATGCACTATGTTATCAGTTTTAACAAATATGTTTCCATTGAAGCTCCAAACTTCTTTTCGTGAAAAATTTTCCAGGGCTGTTTTCATCCATAACACCCTCCTTTTAGTCAGATCTTCTTGCATGTGTCAGTTAGTTCCGAATGAAAGAATATCACTATCCATTACAAAATTTCACATGAGCAATAAGGTACTGATAAGACTCTTAATGAACTAGTTTTAATATGTTTTTTCTGTGACGGGAAAAAAGTTTGGCATTTCATCTCTGTTGGCAGGTTATAAAATGTCACTTTTCATAAATTACTTTTTTCCCGTGGGAAAAAAGTGAGTACTTTTTTACCGGATATAAATCACATACATATACTCTGTTAATGGCTTTTGTTGTGCTATAGTTCCGAAAAATGAGTCAATAATACCGTCTCCGAGAAAGAACTGCAAATCCTTTTATCTTCCATTCGACTTCGCGGTTTCGTATATTACTAAACAACTACTGAATTCGCAATTTTTTAAAATCAAATCACAGAATTGAACTGACAGAAGTGACATCAGATATTTGATTACTTCAAAAGAATGATAAAGATGCCTATAAAATGCAGGTGTCCCTACTGTTAAAAACTTGAAATTTCTTGTCGATAATTTTCAGATTTCGAAAAAATGTAATATCTTCTCAATATTGATCCGTCCTTCCTTCTGTCACAGAAAAAAATAGTGTATTATACACGGGAAAAATATTAGATTTTAGCTCACGGTTTTTTGTCTCCCTCCGCTACGCGTCGGGAGACAACACAACCTGGAGCTAAAATCTACTACTTTTTTCCCTTGTATAATAAATAACTATTCTACACATTGTGTTTTTAAGTTCAACTATGATGTGCACTAGCTATTTCTTATGTAACTATTCAAGTTAGTGAGTTTTTTCAAATTCAACACAAGATACCATACTTATAATGGTTTCTTCAGATGTCTTGATAATGAAAATAAAACTTTACGAAAACTCGAAAATTTAACAGAGTTTTTTCTCTACATTGGCTACCCTATTTGACTCAAGGAAAACATTGTTTTCAACTGTTGTTTCCTAAATATCAATTTTATTCAACTAGTCCAGTAACGAGACTACCCTTCCACTAATATATAAGTATATATCAATTCATACTTTCTACAGGCAGACAACTGACAGAACGTGACAACTGAACAATGTAATCGAAAGAACTCTCGGTTCTTATAGTTTACTTTGATTCACCCACAATAGCTAGGTCGGGAAAATGATCCTAATTCGAATGAATGATTTTTAACTGATTCGTTTAATATTTTTGTTAGATCAAAAACTGTTGGATTGTTCAGTACGGAAAATAGGAGAAGGAATAATTTCTTGAACATTTTATTTTTCAAATCAACTATTGCTGCCAATAGATGAAACAAAATGCCTGATCATTTTCAAATAAAATATGGCACATCAATCATCTCTATCGATTTTTTTAAATAAACAATGGCATTAAATATTATGATGACATATGTTCAAGGTGAAATTCCCTTAATGCAGATTTTTCGTTTCTTTTGGCAGACTATTGGTTGCAGTTCAGCGGTGAAAAAACGGATCTGCACTCCAGACTGAAATATCTCCAGGATAAACTGGATCAACAGGTGAGAATCAGTAGGGATCAATTGGAGAAATTGGAAAGGACTGATTTGCTCGTTAAGGATCTCTATATCGAGAATGCTTACTTGATTGCTAGTGTACAGAGATTGGAGCAGCAATGCCATATGTTGGCCCAATGCAACTCCAGTTCTGTATGAATTTACGAGAGGGGTTCCGAGTGAAGCAAACGATTTTCATGATATCTTTTTTGGAATCTTAGATTTTTTATGGTTTAGGAACGTATATGGATTCATCATGAGTTAGCACGAATTCAATGATATTCATACCGTTGGTGAAAGAGATTATTATTTTTATTTCTACAAAAATCTCAAATGTTTTTGGAAACAGTCCGCCAGCCGTAATTCCACAATTTTTTCATTTGATTTCAAAAACAAAAAATTAAATTGAGACTTCGAAACATAACCGATAGTACTATTCACTTCGTTTTCTAGTTCAATAATGTGGGTACCATAAGTTTGATTAACTTTTTCGGATTTTTTTCGAAATATTCATTTTACTAGCGTCAATGTTGTGTTGAGTTAGTCACGAAAACAATGGAATCGGTTTAATGTGTTATTTTAAAATTTAATATTAAATTTTTTTATTTTTCCCAATCGGATGAAAATTACAATCTCAGTTAGCGACGTTTTTTATGCGTTGTTAGCAGACAAAAAGTTATTCTTGGATATCATTGTCTAAACATTTATTCTATAGTCATGTCTTTATATTTCCCTGTTTTGCTAATATTTTCAAGTGACCTGCAATTTTGTTTTTAATAGTACAACCAGTAAATGCGAGCAAAATACGGAAAAAGTATTGTAGATTCTTGATTTACAAATGAAGATGCCAAATTTTTATTGCAGAATTTTTGTGTACACTGTTTGCACTGTTTTTAAAGTAACTTATTACATTTTAAATACCTACTAAATTTTCTTTGAATTAACCAAATATTCTTCGTCGGCACCTAAATTAGGTGTATAATCATATTACGTTTTTAGAATAGATATAATAATTTATTTTACTAAATAATCCCATTTAAGGTTGTTTGAAAGGCGTGTGTTCGACGTTATTTTTTCTAGAGTTTTATTACATATCAGTTGATAAAGTACATCCAAAGAAATTTTTGAATATGTTGTGTAATATATTGTTATATAATAATTACTAACTGAAAGTGTCATATTATTGAATAAATTGATATATAAAAATTAATGAGTTTTTATAGCAGAAAAAAGAAACTTTATTTTTCAACGATAGAAATATAAATAAATTGATGACAAAACAAGCAATATAAACTATGAGATCTCTAAAACAGTACCTAATAATTTCTAATATGTACATAGTTGAACAATGTGCTCAACAATTTGATAAGTGAGTATTCAATCTTACAGCTAACCTTACAAATACATTCCATTCACTAAATAATCTGCATCATGGGCATAAAGTTTACCCCCTTTTCTTATTCTCCTCCTAACCATCTTCAGTCTGCAACCGATCATGATGGCCATGATGAAAGTTATGATCAAACCTGTAAACAGATACCATGAGCCAAGGTGCATTCATATTCTCAAATAATCTAAGAACATTGCTTTCTTTCAATTTTTGAGAATTTCTTCCGATATTTTTTACTGAGACTAAGTGAAGACTACTACGAAACTTTACGGTGGACGGTTACGAAATGTGTCCGTAATAACTCATATTTGAGAGTAGTTTCATAACCTGTGAGGAATTTTGTAACAGCTTTAATGGCCTTTTCCAGTATCATCAAATTATACCCTTTTTTGCTATTTATGAAGTCCAACAACGAATGAATTATTTAATATTGAAAATGCTATTTCAATGCATGTAAACTCAAACGCTACTGAGCTGTGACGTCAGTCAGTGTCTCCTTGCAATTTGATTGGTGGGAGTTTGTAACGGCTGGGAAGCACGCCGCTGTTGCCAGGTCTCTATGAAATCCCTGAATTGATCTTATGTGCAAGATGGTTCAAGGAATGCCATGATTCGAAATTACTATGTAGAAAGTGATTAGTTGATTGGCAATCTTCAAATTTGATTGGTGACACCGCTGTATGCGATCACAATTAGATAATGGGCGAGTGAATTGATAATGGATTATTGTTGTTGAATTTCATCAATGTAGGGTAGTCTCTAACTAGCAGTCCTAAAGGGACCCATTCACAAACAGACCGCTTTCAGGCCGTGGACTGACGATCAATTCTGTAGTCGGTAATCTGATGAGGCCACACATTATTCAGTCCGCCTGATATTAAGCTCCCAGGTTTCGGCCGGGCAGGTTGATTCGATGACGGCGTAAACAATATCGCAAACATTATCAGATATGGTTACTTTCAAAAAAAGAAGAAAATTGGCGTCCTTATTGATAGTTTTATTACAAAGGAAGGAAGGAAAGAAGGAATGCTCGAAGTCATTACTTCACTTTAAGAGAGGCCACTTCAACAAAGAAAGCGATTTTTGGTAAAGGATTGGCTCCTTGAAAGACAATTTGTCACGCATGAAACTAATCGAAAAGCTTCGTATGTGATAGTACCAAAGTGTGGGTACACATAATTTCTCAGTACCACTTCTTCTCATTCACTTTTTTACTGTCTCTCGAAAAAGGAGATTCCTCAGATAAATTCAGGTTTGTCGCATCCGTTTTCACTCAATTTGATCGAAATATTGGGGATCGTTGAGGCAAATTTCAAATCGAATTGATGTTGAGGCCTTCAGTCACGGAAATGAACACGCGAGTGAGATCTTTATAAGAATATGCTGTTCTTAGTCAAGGCTGGTTACCATGGTTATATTGGTCAAAAACTGACGACACTGATATACGGTTCTTGTTCATAGAAAATCCTCAAGAGACGCTGATATCGTCATATTTTCAATGGCCATTGGACCAAATAACAACAATCATTTATACTTACGACAAAAAAATACAGAAATAGTGTAAGCATGGTGGAAATATAATATGGTGTTCTACTCAGGTATCATGAATTTGAAGATTATATGTTTTCCAAATCACTTTGAATATCCCGTTCGATATCATTCAATTCTTTCGATATACAGTGTGACCCACTTCAAATGGAACCACCCCTGTATCTCATGTAATCGTTAGGTAAGGATCCTGAAATTTGCTGGAGCGAGAGATATACCAAAAATGCACTCTATGACCAAGTGGGGTCATCTTCAGTGATATACACTGCTCGCCAACAGCCATGGAACCACCCCAATTTCCGGAAAATGATACTAGGAGTCAAAATAGGTTGAAAATCACTTCGGATTCGGAATCAAGACGCACCCTTCACTAACTATCCATAGTTTTCCCAGGAAATTTTCAGTTCAGAAAAATTAAATTTTGTCCCATTTCTCATGGAAGCACCCCCGTATCTCACGTAATTATTGAGGTAGGATTCTGAAATTTGCAGGAGGAAGGGAAAGTCCAAAGATAAAGTCAATTACGTAAGATACGGGGGTGCTTCCGTGAAAAGTGCGACAAAATTAATTTTTCAGAACGGAAAATTTTTCAGGAAAAATATGAATAGTTAGTGTATTGGGCGTCCTGATTCCGAATCTGAAGTGATGTTCAACCTATTTTGACTCCTAATATCATTTTCCGGAAATTGGGGTGGTTCCATGTCTGTTGGCGAGCAGTGTATATCACTAAAGATGACCCCACTTGGTCATAGAGTGCATTTTTGGTATATCTCTCGCTCCAGCAAATTTCGGGATTCTTACCTAACGATTACATGAGATACAGGAAGTGGGTCACACTGTATAAATAAATGGTGTATCGTCCGCAAATAATTTTATCTTTCCTTACAATTTCAGAGTTGATATTGAATCAATATAAATTGAAGATATAATTGGTCCCAGAACTGACCCTTGCGGTATTCCACATGTGATAATCTTTTGTGGGCCACAAGTATCAATCACTTCAACATACTGCTTTCTTTATGTCAAATAAAGTGTGAACCAATCATGAATTCTTCCTCTGACACCGATTGAATATAATTTATTTAGTAAAATGGAATGATGCACAGTGTCAAATGCCTTACATAGGTCCAAGGACAAGGAGCCACATTTATAATTTTCCTCAATGCGTGACTGGATGTCCGAAATTACATCCATTACGGCTATCTCTGTATCCTTTGACCTATGGAATACATATTGACCACTGTACAATAGATTGTTATTTTTCGGGAAGTCAAGAAGACGATTATTCATGATTTTTTCTATAATTTAGAAAGAATAGGGATCACAGATATTGGCCTGTAATTATTCATATTGTCTTTCTTACCAGTTTTGTATATAGGGTTTGCAATCCCGGCGTAATAATACAATCCCGGGATTCCGATATCAAATTGATACGAACCCGGGATCCCGGGATTTCGGTATCGGGATTAGAATTTGAAAAAAGTCTGGGGTATACTGTAGATACGTGATGATTACATAAATACTCGTATATGAACAAACAATTTAATCTATACATAAAAAATGAAGAGAAAAAAAAGCCGAACATTCATTACTTACAGTAACGACTGAACCAGGGGCGTACAAAAATCCACTCGTAAATGGTATTATCTGCGAGTCGAGTGCTGATTTTTGTGCGAATGGTACCAGCTGCGGAAAATACACTTGACGAGAGCGAAGTCCCATTGGTCAAAACTAATCCCGAAAATTCCGGGATCTAATCGGATGTGATCCCGTTATTCTCGGTATAAAAATATCACCAGGACCCCGGTATTTCTGGTATCGGTTTATTCGGGATTGCAAACCCTATTTGTATATTAGCAATTTTCATTTTGTCAGGAATAATACCAGTTTCAAAAGTTAAAGATTGACTCGGCCGTTACTTGATGGAAATCCATGGCAAATGTTTATAAAGTTTTTACAGTCTCAAAAGATTTGGAAACATTTTTCAACAAGATGGGATTTGATTCAGCCCTAACTACTTTTACAATTTTTACAGTTATGAAATCAAATCGACAAGATTTCCGTGCGTCCAAGTTTTTCAAAGATAAATTTGGACCAACAATTTTGATATTATTCAATGTGATATATTCGATATTATCGGTCAGATTTTTTGATTTATTGTATAATAGTGAATTGATTCCATTCCAAATTGATTTCCCAGTGTTATTGAAAAAATGGTTATCGTATAATTTCTTTTTTGATTCCCTTATTGTTTTCTTCACCAAGTTAATATAGAAATCATATTGGTCTTTGAAATAACTTATATTTGGGTGAATTTTTCTTTTATGATGAAATTTGTCACGTGATTTGATTTACCTACGGCAATTATAGAGAGTAGACAAGAACACACGATATACAGTAAGTAGCTCTTTAGGCACAGTAAGCACATCGCACAGTTTTCGTTTATTCCGCCAGTATAGGTATGTCATGATCGCGTAATCGCCGGCAACAGTGGATAACCTAACTGTCAAAAATTATAATTCAGATTGTTTTTACAAACTTTCTTGATGTACTATATGGCAGTAGGTAAAGTATAGTACGTAATGCGTGTTGTAAAGCAATTACGCACTCATGGAATTAAGCACTCGTTGCTCCGCGGCTTCGTGCGTCACTTTTCCATTCGTGCGTAATTTGCTTCTTATAATACATATTACCTAATATACTATAAATTATTGACATTATGATATAACCATGGTTTGGAGTAACACCTCTGTCTAATAATTTTCGATGTCATACAATTATGGAAAATGTTCATATGCTTCATCAAGATTATTGTAATTACCGATATTGACATACAGCATTTCCAATTCAGTTCGTAATTTTTCTGTCATGTTCTTATTAATTTGTGGAAATGACTTTGAGCTTTCGTATTTATTCAACATTTCATTCCACTTTTTGGCTATTTCGTAGATAAATAATATGATTTTTTTAATTGACTCGGCCGGTCCTTGATGGAAATCTATAGCAAATGTAAAAACATTAACAACCGATGAGATTTCCACAAAATTCTTGATCCCACGACATCTTTTGCTGACACAGTAGCTTCATCAGGTGAAATACTGGTACAATGAAAAAAATTGTGTTTGGGGAAATCAATAAATCACCCTGTATCTCAGTGATCAAAGAATGATAGACCCACGAAATATAGATTATTCAGAAGCACTTCCTTGTCCTCCATGTACCCTTACTGAATGCGCATTTCAATGAATCACCCTGTATAATACTCAATACTCGCCTAACGACACTGCAAGGACCGCCCCTCTCTGCGTCTTCGCCATTCCGTCTTCCAAATCGCCGGCCTCGTCGATCTTGTAGGCGATGACGTCCGGATAGCGATCACGATGCACGTGCTTGGCGATCTTGACGGCCGGCTCGTCGTGCTCCATGTGCTCCTTGGAGTGCTTCAGGTCGTGCGCGAGTTGCTCTTGGACGTGCTTGGGATTCACTGGAAAAGCACAACGACATAACTTACTGTCTAGACCGCTATATGTCATGCCTCAGCAACCCGACAATCTCATCCATATAGACGAATGAATTTAAGGTCGCAGCGCCAAGGTGGGGCATCGCCCTAGGTTCTTAGGTAAGGCACTAGCCATTACTCCCTCGCCCGACCCTGGCCGTTACCATCGAGACAATAAGGCCTACATGCTCCGTGGTGACGTCACCTTAGTGAGGCCTAACCAGCGGCTCGATGAGCGCTTATGGCGCTATAAGGCGACCGCGTATTTCAATTTTAGTTTTAGATCATTATTGAGCCAATTTTGCTGTTGTTTTGAAGGGCTTCCGGTTAAACAAGTATGCCAGTCTTCAACTGAGCCCTTCTTCGCATCCAATGGTATTCTTTCTTCTTTTCACTAAATAAGTATGGATAAATCTCAAGAAAATCATATTTATAGTTGAATAATATAATAGAAAAAAATGTCATACATTGTGAATACATGAAAAAAAAAAGGAAATTGTTCAAAATGCCATCCAGAAGACAGGCGAAAAAGAAGGTGAAAGTAACTATAGTCGAATATCTCAATAAATAATGGTTTGTTCACATTTTCACTATCAAATTCGTGTTTTCCAGACAAAAATACGTACCAGTAAGTACCAACAAAAATTTTCGAAAAAAAAACACATCGCATGATAAATGCAGTTTTACCTTTTTAAGTAGAGTGTTTGTAGTACATGTTGATATGATAGTTGCAATTTGATCATTGGAATGAATTCTGCATTCATTGCCACGAGGCAAATGACCGTTTTCAGAAAGAAATTTGAGAATGTACCGAGTTAAAAATGCCTGTTTATTATGAACATTCAAGAAAATTTCCTCGAATTCAGAGATGATTTTCTCTCTATCCTCTACTTATACTTTTTATGAGAGAGTAATTGTCTTCTGGTATTAGTTGATCATTATAAATCAAGCTCTATTCACTACTGTACTTAGATGGAGTGAAATCCTCGCGGTGAATTGCATATACCCACTTTTTCGATAGTTCCTCGTCCAACGGGAAACTAAAAGCATGAACTTTTGGACCACCCACATAATTCCCCCGACAAAAGGGAACACAACACTTGAAAGGCATTGTTATTTCGCCTATCACAACACAAAATATTTCACAAAACAGTAATTTTTCCGCCAATTATTTTGATGAATAAACAACAAAAGAATTCGGGACCGCTTCAAAAGCATACGTGAATCACCGATGAATTAACACGAACCTACGCGTTAGTCGACAAGCGGTGAAACACTGGGCCTCTCTTATGTGACGTCACGAGCTGTTTACGTCAGAGTCTGCTGGCCTTCTAATCTCGATGGTAACGCCCTGGCTCACAGCCAGGATCGGGCGACGGGCGCGGGCGGGCCAGGCCGAGCTAAACGAGCAGGAGGTTTTTGTTTTTAGTTATTTTATTTTCCTCCATCCCCCTACAAACCACCCATCACTGATAGCGACTGATCAGCTCTCCCACCCTCTTGGGTCACCTCAGTGAGATCACCTATATAAGGGGCTTGGCCCCAGAGGAGATAGGCCTCTGAGACTAACACTTCACAAATACACTCACATTCTTAGCAAGATGTCCTGCTTTCTGAAATGTGATTGTAAATTCGTGCTGTAATGTAATATGTGTAAACAATAAATAGTTATTCATTATACAAGGGAAAAAAGTTGTAGATTTTAGCTCCAGGTTGTGTTGTTTCCCGACGCGTAGCGGAGGGAGACAAAAAACCGTGAACTAAAATCTATTTTTTTTTCATGTATAATACACTATTTTTTTCTGTAACAGAAGAAAGGGCCAATCAATATTGAGAAGATATTACATTATTTTGAAATCTGAAAATTATCGACGTGAAATTTTAAGTTTTTAACAGTAGTGACACCTGCGTTGTAGGCATCTTTATCATTCTTTTGAAGTAATCAAATATCTGATGTTACTTCTGTCAGTCTAATTTTGTGATTTGATTTAAAAAAATTGCGAAATTGGTGGTTGTTTAGTAATATACGGAACCGCGAAGTCGAATGGAAGATAAAAGGACTTGCAGTTCTTCATCAACAGTGTAACAGAGATGAAATGCCAAACTTTTTTCCTGTCACAGAAAAAATACTTTAATACTAGTCATTCGATATCTGAGGTAAAGCAGAGTCGAGCGCGGTTAGTACTTGGATGGGTGACCATTCGAGGAAAAATCATTCAGTAGGTATAATAGTTCAGTATCAGTATCATACATAAAAATAAATATACCTGAATAAGGAAGCTTTTTTTTTATAAAATGTAAAAATTACAATAGGCTGATGAGTAGATAACTTAATTGTTGTTATGAGTGATAGATTATGATTCGAATAAGATGAGAAAATTGAATTGGATCAGGGAATCTCGGAATTCTCTGAATTTGTCACATGCGCACGGAAAAAATCTATTTCCAGAATAGTAGTGAAATATACATTTCTTAATTTGTTCACAATCTGGCACACGTTTGAAATTGATGGGTGTCAGTTTCCATTTTATTTTTCATCTGTTTATTTGTGCTTATGAAGTGTCAGTGCTTGTAAGAGTATTCATACTCTAAATAGACTGAAACAACAAAAACTGGAACTCTCTAGATCTAACCCTAACAGCGCCTATAAAATTAAATAAAGATATATTACTCACCGTTTTCATTGATGATATTCGGTTCAATTGGCCTGGATTCAGATTTATAGGTGGGAGCTTTTCCATCTTGTCCTGAAAGGTATTTTGCTTGATAAGAATTGGCCAAGTTTGTTTATTGTGCAGAATTAATAATGATTTATGGGATTTGTTCCTGTTACCTGATGCTAATAATTCGGTTTCAATCAATTTTCATTTATGTATTGTTACTTGTGACAATTATTCTATTACCAGACAAGCAAAAATCCTTAATGTTTGACAAAATATATCATTGGCATTCCCAGAAAACATTTTTTTTTTTTTAATAACTGATAATCTACCTTGGTATTGGATATCCTGATGGGGATTTGTTTGACCGTACGCAACTTCACCTGCAATGAAAATCCGTAAAGACCAAGTCAAAGTGAAGGAGATTATAGATCAACTTGCTTTGAAAAATTCCCCCTCATGAAAGTATTCATTGATTATATCCTATAAGATAAATGATTGCTGAATTAACGATTTCCATTCGCGGTTTGTCGATTCCCAAACTGAAGTTGTTTATCTCCAAATGGAGTATACTTCTCACTGATTATATTCAACAACTGCATTGTGTTTATTCTGTATTTTGATATGCTTATTTTCAATTTAAAAGTGTTCAATCTCATTTGAGTAGTGATAATTCTCAATTATGTGAGTGCACTACCAACTTGAATGAGTTTTTTTCTAAATTGGAAATGATTAATTTCAATCTGAAGTCGAGGTATATGTACAGGGTGTCCGGAAATTATGCGCAAAAAATCAAGAGGGTGATTCTGCATGACAAAACATGGAAATCATTTCATATATACGTGGGTCCAGAAATGCCTAGTTTCAAGACACAGTGTGTTGAACTTAAAAAAAAAACGGTTTTTTTATCAATATCTCAAACATCCTTCCACCGATTCTCTTGAAATATGGCAATGATATTCTTTGTCATGAGGGGCTAGTTTAGCTATAATTGAATTGGATTTGTGAAATCCTGTGGCGTCCTGGGGGCACCCTATCGAGTATTATTGTCAATAAGATGTGCGCCACTGTTTTTTTTTTAAATTCAATATCTTCATATCCAATTGACCAACTAAAAATACAACATTTTGGTCTCCTGAATTGTCTTGATATTTTGCTTTGTTTCCGTCGAAAAAATGAATACTAATTTATTGTATACATTTGTGCAAAACAGGGGTGAAAATAAATGTGTAAGCCATGTCCATAGACATAGAATACGAATTCAGATTCATTTTCATCAAATAATTTATAATTATTGTTTGACACACTTTGTATTCTTGAAAATTACGCCTTCCTGGACTTAGATTATAATTCCCAATATACAGAGTGTAGAGTGTGTCAAACATGTATCATGAAATATTTAAAAAAAAATTAATCATCAGTCTGATTTCATGTCTACGGACACGCATTTATTTTCACCACAGTTCTTGAAGGAGATTTTTGGCACAAATTTATGCAATAAATTGGTATTTATTTTTTTCCATGGAAATGATGCCAAATACCAAATCAAAGTTCAACACACTGTGTGTTGAGAACTATGCATTTTCGGACCCACGTGCATATAAAATGAATTTCTTACTTTTATCATAGAGATGCACCCTCTTGATTTTTTGCGCATAATTTCCGGACACCCTGTATAAAACACCGTTTGATTGATTATAGAAGTATTCCAAGAGGAGGATCCATCAATATTTCTCACTCAGTGTCGACGATTCCGATTTATCATAGGTACCAAACTACTGCATGGAGAACGAATAAGATTCAGTACCTGATGGCCAATTTTCCTGCTGCAGCGGCTGCCTATAGCTATTTTCTGCATAATAGCTGCCCATTTTATTATATTGTCTGCCATTCACATTGTCAGGATATTGGGCTTGGCTGAAAAAAGTCCGAAATTGAGTCATTATGTAGATAATATAACTATCGTGTGAAACTGTTGAACAATCCAACAGTAAATTCATTATTTATTTTCTAATAGGTAGATTGTTGGGAAGAAAGAAAGCTATCCAAGCATTACAAGATTAAATTATATTATAAACACACGTAGTGTAATTATCGCATCAATGAAAAGTGTTGAGGAAGGTAGTAGGTACTAATTTGTTTATTGTTCTCAAGTATTCTAACGATGTTTGATTGAAACTTTCCATTTTGTTGGGTGACAGGTGTAATTAAAATGCAAATTAATTAATCTTTCTTCGAATGTGAGTGGTGTGAATTAGAGTTCCTAAATGTACTTGACACTGCTGTTTTGACGTTTTTTGTATATTAGAGTAAGGACACTATGACAAGCACTGACAATCAGACATAACCACAAATAAATTGATGAAAAAAGCGGGAACTGACAGTACACGGACATACATGACATAAATTTCAAAGGTTTGACCTATTGAGAGAATTAGGAGAAAGATGCAAGTTTGTGCAGTTTCCAACTGTGAGAACACGGAAAATCAATTCACTCTATTCGAATAATTCTACAAAAATGGAAACAGAATATGATGTGGCCGGCATGGAATATAGGTTCAGGCCACAAAAGTTGAAATCCCAAGTCTGAATGTGCATGTTCATGCGTAGTTGAGAAGTGCTAGACGACTATACATAGCTCCTAATGGATTTTGAACCTCTTCTTGGGTTCCAAGATACGAGCAAGATATTATCAGAGCACAGAACAAGAACGCTTAACGAGTACACCATTTATGTTAGGTATTGAAAATGATCTTCCGATGGCCGGGTTCAAACCAACAATCCCCTTTAGCAATGTGAACGGCGATTTATAGTGAGTCGAGCGCTGAAGTCCATTTATACCTACTTCCGTATGTCTTGGAGAACCTTAAGTATCTATCCCAACTGAAATCAGCTGTTATCGTTGCCATATCATTTTTTCATTTATTAATAACTTATTACCTACCACTCTTGTACAAGTGGAATTGTTCCATACGAAATAAAAGTATGTTTCATTTCTTAGGAATAGTATATGTATTTTGTTGGTATATGTGTGTACATCCTAACTTGATATCGACCTCCAGTGAGGTCCTTCAGCCTTATCATTCAATATTTCGAGAAGAAATAATTTTCTAATCCATTTATCATACTCTTTTACCCACTCGAGGAGACGTTATGCACTCTCATACAAAAATCAAAGACAGAGAAAGATATATGGATGTACTCTTCCCAGGACTTGTGGAGGAAGGAAGATGCGAGGATCCTTTATATAAGCGAAAAACATATTCTTGTCCTTGTCTGGCAAAACATAAGATTTGCTTCAAAATCGTCTGTGGTTATGTTTGATTTTCACTGCTTGTCTAGTGTCCGTACTCTATATACAAAAAACGTCAAAACAGCAGTGTCAAGGACATTTAGGAACTCTAGTGTGTGAATAAGCGTGGTTTCACATTGCTGGTTGTATATACAACTACTAAGTGTCAGAGCATGCGTAGTGCTCGGATCTAGATTCCTTTATGGGGACAACCAGGTGTATCTACCGCAACTCCTGTTAAATCTAGAATCAGGCGACAAAACCCGAAAATGGTGGTATTTACAATAAACCATGATGTTTTTGTCAGTAATTTTCAGCGAATTTAGGACAGCTCATTGCTTTGTACTCTGTCAACAAAGCTAGGGTCGAGCAGTCAGTTATTTTTCAAGTAATTGCATTAATCTGGGCTACTGGGCTGTATCTTTGTCAATCAGGAATAGTATTACTTGTATTCTTCATTGCAAATTCATGACTGAATAAAACAATTACCAATTATGCAGATTGTGAGGTGAACTGGAACCACTGGGGGTGAGCTATATTAGACTACACTCGTCTAATTCACATTGAATCTAAGCTTAAAAGTCACTACAGTATATTCCAGTTAAGAATAAAGTAGATGGCATGTATAGCAGAGTCGAGTCCGTTAATTTTGGGATAAGCAGAGAAAAGAAGGGCATAGACATGAGCCACTGCCGATATGATCTACATTCCATACGCTATTTTGAATTATAGCAGTTCGTACCACCAACATCATACACTATTCTGCCAACTGCAGACATCTAAACTAGAATAATTGGCACGAGAAAAGCGAATATTAGAAAGTTTTTCTAAGGAAATACGAATATAATAGAGAATTTTCTGCGTACGATTCAATAGTTAAAAAAAACAGCTTCCGTCAAAAAAAAATCATTTTAACCGGTTCTAGAGTTAGCAGGGTTAGAAAACTTCAGAAGACACACTACTGTGAATCTCATGCTGGTGTGTGTATAAAAGCTTTTGAAGCAAATAGGCGACTGGACTGGTAAGTATCGAATTTTTCCTTTTTTTTTTCATTTTCATGGTTATATCACTTTAACGTCGAATTGAGATTTTTTGATTTCAACATACGTTGTACTCCCAGAGATCAACAGGTATTTTGCATTTTCATATCCACCAGTCGACGCTAACGGAGCTTATCAATGTCAAAAATACCCACATTTTTCTGGATTACCCTGAAGACTAAGGCTTGTTCTATGGAAAATTTAGCGAAAAAAATGTGTCTTATGTAAATAAATGGGTACAAGTTATGCTCAGGCATGGGCAGTCTTGGTACTGGAACTTAACACGCCACTTTCACAACTATATTTCACTATATAGAAGTTTAGTATGTGTTAAGACAAGACCGGACATCTCAGTAGCGCAATCTGGTGGACAATCAAAACATGTTAACACTCATTGTGTTATGACATTATGTTATCTTGGTGAAGTTTTATTCACTAAAAAGCATTTATAAAAAACATTCTGAATTCGTTCGACACAATACTAGAAAAATTCAAATTAAATGTGACTTATAATAACCTTTAATTTCATTTTCATTTGACATTGGAAACAATGTCCAGTCGAAATTATGTGGAGCAATTTTCAAAAACTGCTTGGTCTAACATATTTCTGTTATTTGCAGGTACACTTTGACACCTGGCAATTATGCAAATTATACCGCAATCAATAAGTTCTATTTATATTTTTGAGTAACGTGACCATTTGTTTGAAGCTGTAATGAAAAGTCGTACCAGTCGTCGAACATATGAAAAATGTTCGAGTTACTTTATTCAAAACAAAAAATAGTCCACTCGCCCAGAAATGAATATTCTACTGTTTGGATAGCTGTCTCACCCTCCGTTACCCGCATATCCTAGGGCGCGATGCAGATACTGCATGGCTCCCTTATATTTATTATACCTGATCTCATGTCCATCAGGCACTTGGTAACCGTTCTCCTTGTGGTTGAATATGCGAGTATTTTTATCTGAAAAAAAAAAATCAATTGAGCAGTTTGGCTAGCGTTGAGAGAGAAAAATTATGTCCCCCCATCTGTCCTTGTATTCGGTGTTCCAACAATAGTGGACATTTCATGTTGGCTACACTGGGAATCAGAAGAAATAGAGAAGAAGACCATTCATGAGGCCAGGTTAGCCGCGCGGTTGAAGCGTCAGTATTTTATTCACGATGGATTGCCGTTCGATTGCCATGACTGCAGAATTTTTCTGATGACCTAAGAAAGTGTTTGGGATCACACTTTGAGAGGTGAGGCCCCCGTCATCCCTTGATAGATTATTATTTCAACTCGAAGGTGGGAATGTAGAAATCATTGGAATAGACAGATCCACCAAATAATATCGCCTCAAGTTGCATAATAACGGAGATATTACCAACTGAAAATTTCATCAATTTAATCAAAAATCTGTACGTTCCTGGCCTAGGGCTTCGCGAGACCGAGACCAAGGCCAAGACTGATTGGTCTCGAAAAATAAATGTAGTATTGGTCTTGGTAGTGGTCTTCATGTTTCAAGACCAAGACGAGACTGGCTCAGTCTTGGTCTTGATAATCTTGGTCTTGGTTCAAGATGCGTCTAGAAATTGGAATCATTCAATTCAAATATCGAACAGTTCATATAATAGGTATTTCGTATTTCTCAGTCATTGAAATTGTCAATTTGTGCGTATAAAGTAAGCGAAAGAAATGTCTCCTTTCACCATAAGAATATAATTTTTTAGAAACCTCAAATAAACATTAAATGAGACCCAAACAGCAAACAGGCCAACGCCCGACAGGCCAGAAAAAAGGTTCAAAAGGAGCAGAACTGACAACAACGCATTATCTAAGTATTTCAAAAAAATTCAAATTCAAACCAAATAACTTTTGTATAAAATCTGTTTCTATCTTCAATAGGAGGAGGTATGGACCACTGTGACCTTACAACATAGACCTATTTGTTGTTAACTTTAAAACTGCAATACGGAATTTGTTGAATGTATTTCGGATAATTTCCACCAGATTTTTCTTAATATTGAGTAGATTTGAGTTCGTTATTTTTATTTCGAGACCAAGACGCTTGGGAGTCTTGGTCTTGGTCTCGAAAGTAAAGTCTTGGTCTTGGTAAGATTTATAATTTCTTGGTCTTGGTCCAAGACTGGACTATTGGTCTCGCGAAGCCCTATTCTGGCTGTACGAATCTTTGTTCACTGATTACCCGACTGATCCACCTCCCCTACTACAGTAACATTTTGTTTGTCTAGCGTTAGTCATCGGATCCGCTTTTTCAATAATTGTTTTTCTGTTATCAATGGCGCACGTTTACGACAATAATGAACTTGTTGGCATGCTTTTGATTTATGGCGAGTGTCGCCAAAGTGCAGCAGCTGCATTGGTGCAGAGGTGACAACACATGGTGTTTCAAGGAACAAAGAGATGTGGGAAAGCCTCTACCAACCTCAAAATCGCCCTGCGAGTGTTGAATTTTGTCTGAGGCTCCTGAATCAGCACTATCATAACAATGGACAATTTACAAAATTCATTTTTCTACGGCTATAACACAAGATTTCTCTTGTTTTACTGTTTTCGATACATCAATGAGGTATTTTGTATGTCATCAATTTTATTTCCCTATGTGATATCACAATGACTCCATTGTGTTATTATTTCAAAAAAAAAACTCATCGCCCATGGAATGTCAAATTTCAAGCAATGAAAGCTCTGTTTAATAGATGAGCATTAATTGACAGGAAATCAGATATGGCTACAAGACGAAGAAATCGAAAATGCCGCCGTTATCTATTATAGCCGTAGAAAAATTATAGCGTATAACTTGCACGGAATGCTAATTTCTTACTCGAATGATTGCAGCAATCGCCTATGGATCATGCTGCTAACTTGATTCTCGTACGAAATCACTATCATTCCGTGCTCGTTGAACAATATACTATTTTGCTACAGACGACGAAGTCATATTCTCACGAAATAACTTCCATAACTCCCATATTTGGTCAATTCTTTCTTTCTCCCGAATTTCAAGTGAAAACTATTTAGAATTCTCACGAAACACTTTGCTTGAATCGATGTGACTTCGAATGTGAGACTGGCAATGTGGTTTCTACACAATGGAGCTCACATACATCTCAGACGAGAAATTCGCGAACATTTGTATAACGTGTTTTCCAATAGGTGGATAGGGCGTAATGGATCAATTTCTTGGCCTGCATGCTTCCCTGACCTTAAGCCGTGCGATTTCTTCCTATTTGAAAAACTTGGTGTATCGTGTCGGAGAAGTGATAACCGTGGAAGAATTGAGACAGCGAATAGAAAAAGCTTGTGAAGTTGTTCGTGGGCAAGATAGTAATTTTGCAGCATGTAGTGACTCATTAATTGTTACGTAGAGCAAGATTCCAAACGAATGATGATAACTCAAAACAATTTTTGGAAATATACAGGATGGCACTGAAATAAGTGCAAATATTTCAAACCCTGAGGAAGCTCGACGTATACTATCGAATAGCACCAATAAAATGAAACATAGGGTTCACATTGAAATTTGGAGTTAGACCATTTTTTCCACCCAAATGCTCGGTACAGATGACAGCTTTCCACATTTCAGCTTATAGTGCTTCGGATTCTGATTGGTCACAATTAATACTCGTAATAACAGAAAGTTCATTTCAAGGTCAATAAGCGAAAAATGTTCAAACATTCAGAACATTTTATAGAAGAAATAGCTGATATTTGTCTAGTGTAACCCTGAAATAGTGAATATGAAAAGTCCGCGCTTCATTATTCATCTTTCCGCAGTAAGTTGTAAGCTGCCATCTGTACCCTACTAAAGTTCTACACTGTAGTAATTCTGACGTCATTACTGTTCAAATTTCTGTGAGGAAAGTACAATCACGCGGAGTTCAATCATTTAAATTGTTTTAAAGTGGTGTAGGTACTTGATTATTTTCTCGTTTTCTGTTCAATTTCCAGGATGAAATTTCACGTCAATTAGAAGAATTACCTAACAGAAAATCTGATATCATGGGAATATTCGTTAGGCTGTATCATATCGTTGTGCTGAATATAATATGTACTTTTTTCGAATACACCTCGTATAATTAATTTAAAAAACCAGGACCGTAATAAGGCCCATAATATCGGTGAGTTCTTGAACTTCGTTATTTTACAATTTTCATATGGGCATGGCAATTTTTGGTGATATTGTCTATTTCGTTAAGTCATATACATCCTGTTAAAATAAATGCCCCACCTTCGGGAATCCCCTGCAGATACTATATCATAACAATCAGCTGTCGTTTTGTGATTTTCCCGAACAAATCTCTCACCTTCGTACTGAGGAATCTGCGGAGCCATCTGATTGGCCTGACGGGGCACCCACGGCGGCTGCTGCGGCATCTGCGCCACGTACGGCTGCAGCTGGTGCTCGTACAGCCGGGGATTCACCAGTCTGGGGTCGTTGGCGGGTCTCAGGAAATCGGCGTCCGGTATGGAAACGGCCGGTAGCTGGACCGGTTCTCTCTGAGTTAACGGCTGTAAGAGGATCTCTTGCTGGTTGGGGTTGGGTTGATTGCTGAGCGATGGCTGAAACTGAGTTCGATACGAAGTTTTGAAGAAGAACATTGGAAACTAAACTACTTACCAGATGAAGTGGGACAGCCAAAAAATTGACTAATTTTGATAAGCTATAGCTCGAACATTTCTTGGCCGATGTTGGATTTCTAACCAAATATAGAAAGCGTCATCCTCTTGGGCTATACGTCATCGGCGTCAGGTTTTTATTTTTGCGATTCGTTCTCTTTGTACAGAGTGTGAATTAAGAGACGGAAAAATTTCAAATTGTTTTCAAAGACGTCTCGAGGTATCGGACCAACCATTCACCCAACATTTGAAAAATAATCCTATGGTCCCTCACATTTCCCAAATTATTGGTCAAAAATTCGAAATTTTTACGGCTCCTAATTTACACTCTGTACAAAGAGAACGAATCGCAAAAATAAAATCCTGACGCCCAAGGATGACGCTTTCTATATTCGGTTGGAAATCCAACATCGGCCAAGAAATGTTCGAGTTATAGCTTATCAAAATCAGTAAATTTTTTGGCTGTCCCACTTCATCTGGTAAGTAGTTTAGTACGTTTTCAGAAAAATGGACATATCCCTAAACCTGTGGTAGATAAGTCGACATAATTTAGGTACGGCTGCAGCTGGTTCTCGTACAGCCGGGAATTCACCAGCCTGGGGTCGCTGTTATAGAAATGTTTGTAATGGATTTCATTAGTTTTTATAATAATTATAAAAACTAATGAAATCCATTACAAACAATTCAATTATTGAAAACTTGGATAGCAAAAATGTTGTTTGGTTTATGACATGCTTCACATTTTTTTTATTTCTATGACAACTTGCTTAATTGAAACATCAAAGAGCATAAACCTATGGATGAGTAGTGACAGTAATATAGACTTTCGAGAGCTATATCGGGTCTCAGGAAATCGGCGTCCGGTATGGAAACGGCCGGTAGCTGGGCCGGTTTTCTCTGAGCTAACGGCTGTAAGAAGATATCTTGCTGGTTGGGGTTCGGTTGATTGTTGAGCGATGGCTGAAACTGAGTTCGATACGAAGTTTTAAACATCGGCAACTAGTACGTCGGTAATGGTTTTCAGAAATATGGACATATCTCTAAAACTGTAATGGATAAGTCGACATAAATAAGGTAGGGCTGCAGCTGGTGCTAGTACAGCCAGAGATTCACCAGCCTGGGGTCGCTGTTATAGAAATTTGTGCAGTGGAATTCATGAGTGTTTATAATTAAAAACTTGGATAGCAAAATGTAGTATAATTTCTATGATTTATGACATGCATCACATTTTTTTATTTCTATGACAACTTGCTTAACTGAAACAACAAAGAGCATAAACCTATAAAAACAATTATTGTTATTATTATTATAATTATGTCCCACAACATACCTCCCTCCAACCTTGTATTTTTTTATTCGTTGACCCATTTTAATTTTTTCTCTGTTGTCAAATGTTTATAACTTTCCTTTTTCAACGTAAAGATAGTCCTATTTATTATCCAAAACGAAGTAGGTACGTCATCTTTCAATTTGATTCGATGTGTTGTTTTAGAAAGGTCTTCATACTTATATAATGTTCAATCAATAAAATCAATTTTTTCATGTTTAGTTAAGTAAATTCATACAAAATAGGTATGTTTCTATTTGAAAAAAATAAATTGACGGTTGTAATTTCTTTTGGAGCTATCCAGTATACATGAATACATAAAAAAAACCGCATCAAAAAATAAGAATAGACTGGTCACTGTAATCAGAGTTTTTCGTCAAAAAACTATCTACTAATTTAGAATAGATAAATTTGGAAAGTCCTACTCTCGAACCAGATGGAAGAAAACTGATGTCGGTGCCTGAGGATCAATTCTCATAAAAAACACAATGGCGAAATTCGCATATCGATATCTGTCTTCGTTTATGAGTTACAAGGTGCGTCTCGAAAATGAGCATTTTTGAATAGTGGCTGCAGATATTTTTTTGCAGAAATTTTCTGTTCTGATGAAAATAACTACGAAGCATTGAGTTTGTGATAAAAATTGTTCTCGAGGCACTGAAATCGGCCTTCCTATATCTAGTTCAAGAATATAACTTGTTCTTCTTGAAGGAAAAGTTCTATTTTGCAACTAGGTATACGGTGACTGATTCCAGTGCCTGAGGATCAATTTTCATGACAAACACAATGGTTTGGTAATATTTTCATGAAAACGAAGAATTTTGGCAAAAAACAGGAGTTCTAGCCACTTTTCAAAAATTCACATTCTCGAAAAACACCTTGTAACTCTGAAATAAAGATAGATATCGATATGCGATTTTCATCTTTGAGTCATGTGAATTGATCAACAGGCACCGACATCAGTTTTTTCCTATCTTTTGTACGAGAATAAGACTTTCCCTTTAAAAGTGCCCAGTTTGGCCCACCCTGTACATATATCGGTTGTTAGGTGCACTGAAGATTTGGAATCGTTTCGGTTTAAATTGTTTGATTGTAGGATAAGAATCTCTGCAAAAAATGATTAGACTCTAAACGGTGAGGTTTAACATTCCTAGAGGATGAATCAGTGACCAAGTACTGACACTATGACCAAATCGGCATTGTTGCCACCAGCACAAAGTTATATAAACTACCTACGTACTCATGAAGTTGTAAAACAATTCAGTTAATTGTATGACTGCATCAAGTCACCACACAAATAAGAACGATTTCCAAATTAAACAATAAAAACTGAGGAAATTGTTAATTACGAACTGGAACGATGTCTGCGTAAAATTTGAGTGAGTATTAGTAGTTTCTTAGATTGTCCCCATACAGAACCTGAAGAATGTGGCATTTTAGTGTAGTATTCGTTGTGTCCACAGTTTTGACAAAATGTTTTGCATACAGTAAGTATAAACACTATTACATCTATAATAATCTAAGATATCTAGTGCTAGGAGGAAGTGGTTCGAATCCACTACATGAGCTGATGTATAATAGGTATCGCTTTTCCTAACCCCCACAAGTTTTCACATTTGGAAAAACAACTTGAGAACGACTCAACTGTCAAACTTCGAATTAGATGAGATGATTTATTCAAACTGGTCAACATTTATAACGTCGTGGTCCAAAATATAGAGCCTGACGAATTCAAAGTAGAATAACACACGAATTTCCATTTTTTTTCTCACCTGTTTCCTCTTGATTGATGCTTTCTCTCGAAATGTTTTCGAAATTTCCGAATTCAGAGGTTTATTGATAATCGTGTTATGAATATTCATTCAAAATGATGCATTTTTTCGACGATCATTTGAATGAAATTGGAAGTTGGAATTCTTTTTCGAAGAATCAACGTTGACTGTATAGTTGTCGGATATGTGATTGTGTTCGAACACTGAAAATTCTGAAGAAGTCTATACAAAGTGATACAAGAAAGAAGTACTGAATGATGGAATGGAGAATAACGTAGTCTTCAGTAGATGAAACATAATTTTCTCTGTGTTACTAGTGAAATAATGGAGAATCAGAGAATGTATTGCCAGACAGGCGTGGATGGATCCATGAACAGGTATTGCTAGCAGTTAGGAATTATCCTTCATTCAATTGTGTTCTAGAATATCAGAAAATTTCTTCCAAGAAACGTGGATGGATCCATTGACACGTATTGCTAACAATTAGGAATTATCTTTCATTCAATTTTTTTTATTCGCATTATTTCATGTCATTCTGGTGGGCAAGCGACCCACTGATGAATGATTCTTCTAAACCTTGGGTAAATTACCCTGTGTTCCTACAAATATCTTATAAAATTCATGCCCTTTGTTTGAAGAGGCATACGGTGCATTTTTCAAATTTGGATTTAGTCTATTGGTTCAGGAGATATGTCGTTTTAAAGCGAACCGTGTGTTTCGGAAAATCTCCTTGAAAAACCCACTTGGAATTTTCCGACCCTGCTCAATTTCAATAGGCTTTGTCTCTCCCTGATATTTTTTCACAAAAAATAAAATCGATCGGACCACTTTTGCGATTTGTAGAGTGGTTACAAGAATCTTCCGGTGAAAAATCGAAAAAACCCGGAAAAACCACCTTAGAGTTTTCCGATTTCCTTCATATTTCAATGACATGATATTGTTTTGAGTACAATAAGATGGCGAAATTTCAAGTCGATATGTCAAAGGGTTCCGGAGATATATCGATTCATGATTACCACAGAGTACAGACAGACAGACAGACCACACACAAAAACCAAAGTTGCTCAAAATTTGCGTAGGTATTATCGCGCGGTAAGCGTTTTTTTTTGCAAATTATAAATGAACTGCAATGTACTGAATCTTTCAATTTGGAAAAGGTAATTTATGATGAAAGGTCTTGAAATGAACGGGAGTTTGGGTGATGTTGATTCATAGGCATTTGTACTTCTTGACAATACCTCATTTTGAAATCTAGCGAATTTTATCTATTCCAAAAAAAGAAAACACAATGAGAAATGGGGCTTCACTATCCTCCCTAATGACTTTTGAAGGAGAACTGATTCCTATGCAACCACCTGGCAACCTGTCATTCATCGACTTCGACGATCGAGATGTACTGATCCAGTGGGAACAAGTCGAACCTCAGTCCGTGAGAGGAACATTCAAAGGCTACTTGGTGAGAGTCTGGAACCACGCCTTCAGTCAGGTGTACGCCATACCTCCCGAGATGACCAAAACGGCGGTACAATTTTTTCCCTACTCCAAGAATTTCATGACGGTGGCTGTGAGGAATGACAAATACGTCGGGCCTAGAAGCAACGCCATCAGTTTTGATGCTCCCCAAACAGGTAAGAGAAAGGTTTGTTAGTGAACATGAATGTCTCTTGGTTGAGCCGGGGTTGATCTATTGTCGAGGTATGTTTACTGTTTACTGACCCCAAATATGCCTGTCATCATGCAATTGCGCTACTTTTATTAGAAATATGTAGATTTCAATGCAAACAAAACACAAGCATGCCTTTTCTCTAGCAAAGCCGATCTCACTGTGCCCAACATAATAAGCTTGTCAGGAGTAACCATACCTTTGAAGACATCCATTTCGATGCTTGGTATTACTATCAACAATAACCTTTCTTGGGAAAATCACGTGAGATCAATTGCTAAAAGTGCATCCCAAAAACTTTTCTGTTGCGGGCCAGAAGCTTTCACTTCCAGTCCAATAAGCAGCTTTATTATCTATAAGGCACAGATCCGACCTTTCCTGGAATAATGTTCCCATATTTGGAGTGCAGCACCCAAACATACTTTGAAACTGTTGGATTCTGTCCAAAAAAGGACAATTCGTCTCGTGGGTGATGCTTCGCTCACAAACTCACTCACTTCTCTGGAACACCGTAGAAAAGTTGGCGATCTGGCTGTATTTTATAGATATTTTCATGGACGATGCTCTTCTGAAATATCAACAATTGTTCCTCCCTTGGCAGTCCCCGCGAGATTAACCCGTCGAGTTGAGGCTTCGCACCCATTCGTGGTCACTTTGGAGACCTGCAGAGGATCTCTTTCCAAAGACACGTTGATTCAACGAACAGCGAGGCTCTGGAACACATTGCCAAGGGAAGTGTTCCCCGAGGCATATAACCTCCAGAAATTTAAGAACACCAATTCCTACGTTATTTCCCTCTTGGTTCTCACGATGTTCTCTGAACATTACAGGATATCCCTTTGCGTGGGAACCAGAACATAAAAAAAAATCGAAACTTTTTTGGGCAATTTTTTCATCAAGAATGAATAGCCAAAAATCAAGATGACTGAAGACAAATTATTCATACTGAGCTTTGAAATAAGCTGAAAATATTCCCAAGAACCCATAACCCCCAAAAGTTTGAGAAAATACCATCCTTCTCTATCTGTCATTCATAGGTATGCACGATGTTCCACAAACATGATGAGGAATCACTTCCGTACTGTACAGGGTGTCCCAAATTGCTTGATTTTGGCAGTTTTCCCTATTTCCAGACCAGGTAGAGGAAAACTGACCTAGGGTTCTAGAGCTCGATTTTCGTGAAACGTCGATTGGTGAAAACCGCATTTCGATATCTCAAACCGTTTCCGAGATATAGGCAAAAATTGACATTTGACTGATTTCGAAAAATTGACATAACTTCTTTATTTTTGGATATTTTTCCAAACGGTGAAAACTTTCTATAGACACTTTATGATGTAGAATAAGATGCATATGTCAAAAAAAATATATCGCTTATCAATTGTCTGATATCATAGCCAACTTCGTTATTTCAAATAGAAACCATAGTTGGCTTTGACTCCATAAAATCGGAAAAAAAATAAGCTTTCCAAAAACATATATGTTAATATATTTCTAGTCATCCTTGCTGTTGATATAACGTATTTATCTTTGAAAATCACAATTTGGTGACATCTCAACTTAGTAAGCCATGGAAAGCAAGAGTTTTTTGTCAAATCAATAATTATATGATAATGAAGTGATAAAAAACAAGTAATTGAATTAAAAAGTAGCAATATTGAATCGTTTAACAAAATATTTAATTCAGTAGGTAACAATAAATCTCCAACGGTTTATTGAGCTTATCACAAATAGTGTTCGAATTGTCCACCATTTCGGTCAAGACATAGATGGCATCTCTTCTTCACTGATTTCTCGGCGTTTAGGAGTTGTAACGGTGTTATTCGAGCGATGGCATTCCTCACTCTTTGCTCTAATTCTTGACGCGTTCCTGGTATGGTTTTGAATATTTGGTCTTTGACGAAACCCCAGATAAAGAAGTCCAAAGGACTTAGGTCCGGGGATCTTGCATGCCATGGTACGGGGCCCCGTGTTCCCATCCACTGATTTCCGAACATTTGATTCAGTTTGTTAATTGTTACCGCCGCGTTATGGGCCGGTGCGCCATCTTGTTGATAAAACTTTCTTATCGAATCGGCAAGAGGCAAGTCTTCTAAATATGGTTCTACAAAATTTTCTAAAATATTAACGTATCTTTGGGCGTTAAGGTTTTCATCATAAATAAAAGGACCAATCATTCGTTGCCCCACTATTCCAATCCAAATGTTGAAACCAAATCGTCCTTGCATGTTTCTAGGTTGGAAAACATGCTCATTATGGTCCGACCAATGATGCCGATTATGCCGATTGAATATTCCACTGCTGGTTACTCTTGCTTCATCGGTCCAAATAACATTTCGTAGGAAATTTTCACTTTCATTGCAACTCCTTATAAACCAGTTGCAGAAGTTGATTCTGCGTTCTTGATCACCGGCAAATAATTGATGTGTGAGCCTGACTTTATAAGGTTTGAATTTATGTTTCTTGAGAATCCTTTGGGTTCGGCTTCTGCTCACACCCCTAGTTACTTCTATTTCTCTGGTGGAAACTTCAGGATTCTCTAAAACCGCTCCAATTACTCCTGCCTCTACTTCGTCTCTACCTTCAACGGCATACTGTCTAGATCTGGGCTTGACGAATGATCCATGATGCATCAGGCTAGTTTCCAATCTATCAAATATTTGGGCGCTAGGCTGCTGGCGTTCAGGGTATCGTTCGAAATATAAATTTCTTGCAGCTTCATTATTTCGGCCTGATTCAATGAAGCAAACAAACATCTGGCATTTCTCAAAGTTTTCAAACATTTTGATGCAAGCAGGTGAAAGCTTTTAGATATTTCATTTATTGTCGAACTGACAGATAAGCAAAACAACTCTTGCTTTCCATGGCTCACTAAGTTGAGATGTCGCCAAATTGTGATTTTCAAAGAGAAATACGTTATATCAACAGCAAGGATGACTAGAAATATATTAACATATATATTTTTGAAAAGCTTATTTTTTTTCCGATTTTATGAAGTTAAAGCCAACTATGGTTTCTATTTGAAATAACGAAGTTGGCTATGATATCAGAAAATTGATAAGCGATATATTTTTTTTGACATATGCATCTCATTCTACATCATAAAGTGTCTATAGAAAGTTTTCACCGTTTGGAAAAATATCCAAAAATAAAAAAGTTATGTCAAGTTTTCGAAATCAGTCAAATGTCAATTTCTGCTCATATCTCGGAAACGGTTTGAGATATCGAAATGCGGTTTTCACCAATCGGCGTTTCACGAAAATCAAGCTCTAGAACCCTAGGTCAGTTTTTCTCTACCTGGTCTGGAAATAGGGAAAACTGCCAAAATCAAGCAATTTGGGACACCCTGTACTCTAAAAGGCGAAGAAAACTTTATATAAACACTATTCATCAGCGATTTGTGTCGCTTCTTACGGCTCCTAAATTCTATTGTCATCCAGATTATTACGACTCCATCAATATGGTTGAATCCATGTCCCCCATGGTTGAGTCGACAACTCCTTTGCCTTCATTTCAATTGGATCATACAGTGTCCTCCTATGAGCTTCCTTCGGGATATTCTTCAGCAAAGAAGGGCCTGGCGAATTTTAGGAACTTCCCAATATAAAGCAGACATCTCGGAAAGTAATCCCACAAGGCAGAAGTTGATTATTTGCCGTAAATTAATGGTTATTTGATTTGATTCATGGTTTTATGTTTCAGAACCAAACATGCCATTTTTGTTCGAACACTTCCAAATGGGCAAGCATTCGGTACTCCTGCAGTGGAACAAACCGACTCAGCCCAATGGAATCATGCTTGGTTACAACATCTATTGCAGCGAGATGAGCGGTACGACCCCAGATGAAAAAACGACCGTCAAATATTTCGTTTCTGGCGCGGACAACTTCCAAGCAAAGCTCACAGGCTTGAAGGAGGGTAGAAGATATTTTGTTCAAATCGGAGCTGTCAATTGTGCAGGAGAGAGCGATCAGTAAGTTTTTGACAAGGAGAAATTAGTAAAGTCAAGGTGAAGTCAGAAATGAAGATGATCATGAGTCACGCATGAGTTCACTAACAGTATTTTACTTGAAATTTTGGAATTTTCTCATCGTTTCTACAAAATAAAAATATGAGTATTATTTCAATATACAGGATGTTTCTTAAGTACGTGTAAAAAATCCAGGAGCATGTTGCTGACGTCAAAATAAGAAGAAAAGTTCGTATAAATATATGTCCGAAAGTTCTTCGTTTCTGAGATACAGAGTGTCAAAGTTGAATTCTTATTTTTGTTTTTTGTTAAGAAATTTCGAAATAATTGTGATATTTATATAAAGTTTGGTATCTAGGGGGATTTTTCAATGACACTATCAAATTTTATGTTGTATGGCTCTTTCGTGGGGGTAGCGCCACCTACATGTCTTTTGAGTCTTTTGGAATGTCATAACTTTTTTGTGCGTACCTGTATCACGTTTTATGGTAGGAAAATAGATTTCTATTCTTCTATTTTCTAGACTGGGTATTTCAAATTCACTTCTAAGTGCTACTGTTCTAATTACTATATTATAGTTCGGGTATACTTTATATTTTTTATGCACTAGCGGGCCGTAAAGTGCACTTTACCGCCCGGTTATGCAGGCGTTAAGTCGCATTGTACCGCCCGCGGGCTCATTATGGCCCACGGGCCGTAAAGTACACTTTACCGCCCGCTGTTCTCAGTCACCTTATATCCACATATCAATTTATGAAAAACCTATGATCATATTCCTAGATTCTGATGTATCCAGCGGTATATCATAAACTTCTTTTTCATCCGATTCCATAGTCTCGCTATTATTATTATCACTAATTTCACTTTTCAATCAAAGAATGACAATTCAGCTCGTTTATTGGATGTATTGATATAGACAACAACCATCAGATTGATTGACAACGTCAAAATAAGTTAGGTATATATACTGGGTATGCATATTGTGAAATTCTGAAGAATTAATCTCTTCTAGAGCTGAAAGAGTGTTACTATTACGATAATTGCAATATTCGTACGATAATTTTCATATGTAAATCATCCATGAACATTACGCTTCTCTTGATTACTGAATTTATACGTAACAAATTAAATTCTGGGGAATATTAGTTTATCGAAATCTATAGTCATTACTCATGAGTCAGAAAATAAACCACTAGTGCATAAAATTTTGTATGTATCTCGTGCGTGAAATGCGTTTATGGCCTTCAGCGTGTAATGGCCCTCGGCTAGCGCCATCGGGCCATTATTCACGCCACAGGCCATAAACGCCTACTTTACGCCCTTGATACATAAATAACTATTGTAATACAGATATCTCAGAAATCTCTTTTGAATTTTTTCCAACCTATTTTTATTAATTAGCTGAGAGGGATGCCAGATTGCAGCGCCATATTAATTCAAGTTTAGGTCTTACTAGTATATTATAAAGTGCAGTTATTGCTTTGGTGTCATTGAAATGTGCACTTTGTCTCATTACAAAGCCCATAGTCCGTAGTGTCTGCGATGCGATATGATCCATATGTGGTTTATACGAAAGTGCGGAGTTATAATATATACCCAAATCTTCAACAGTTTCTACTCTGGATAACTGCATATCATTCATCGAGTAATCGTATAATATTTTAGATAATTTTTGGCTACAAGAGGACAATACATTTGGATATATTAAATGGGAGTTCGTTTTCTACGCTCATCGGTGGAGCATATCAATATCTTCTTGTAATTTGACGCAGTCTTGTGAGCTTTCGATCTTTCTTTACAATTTCAGATCATTTTGCTCGCACAAGTCTCTCGAAGACTTCTGAGGGTTGCTCGTAAGGGGGCAACCGAATGACAGATAGAACAATTTTAGATCAACAAACAATCTGCAAATAATATGCACTCCAAATACTTTATATTATGTGTAAGGTCGTTGATGAATATGAGAAACAGTAGCGGGCTCAGTTTTGATCCTTGAAGGACTCCGGAATTAGCGCAAAATCTCTCTGAACAGTTTCCTGCATATTTGTCCCTGAAGTATCGGTTATTCAAGTAAGAGGCCAACAATTTGATAAAGATGGGGATCTAGGGAAATAATGACAATGGTTTAGACATTACACTTAACCTCCTATGATAATAATCCAGTGATGAATGTAAATATTAGGAATGTTTTATTTGAACAATAATAGTGAAGTATTGATGTGATTGCAGCAATACTCTGGAAGTTGAACTAGAGGAACACGTGCCTGAAAAACCTTCAATGCCTACCTTCAAATACCAAATCGATTACAACATAACCGACAAAAATGACCTGATGAAAAAGGAGTGCTCCCAATCCAGGCAACAACCCAAAACACACGATACCCCAGGGGACTTCTACATGTCTAAGGGAGAAGAAAAGGACACCACAGTTACTCCCAGTTCGGTGCCTAAAGAATGGGTGCAGGTAAAAATTTATCAAATATTACGATATTTACATACAAAAAAACAAAAAATGAGGACGAAGTTGTTTCATCTCATAATTAGAGTTCCTCAATGTACTTGACATTGCTGTTTTGACGTTTTCTGTATATAAGTGTACAGACACTCGACTAGCAGTGACAGTGAGACACACCCAAAAAAGATTTTGGAGTAAATCATATGTTTTGTCAGACAAAGGCAAGAATATGTTTGTCGCATAGATAGAGGCTGCTTGCATCTTCCTTCCTCTACATGTTCAAGAAAGAACACATCCATAATAATATATCTTTCTTTGCCTTTCATTTTCGAATGAGAAGGTATAGTGTCTCCTCCAGTGGGTAAAAAGGGTACGATAAATTAATTAGAAAATCAGTTCTTGAAATATTGAAGGATAGAGCAGACGAACCTCGATAGATGTAGATGGCCAGCTGATATGTACAAATATACCATCGAAGTCACTATTACTATGAAATGGTAAGGAACTGAGAGTGGTTCAGTGGTTCATTTATATAATTTTCGTGGTACAAATGTTCAGAATGGGGTTACAATTGATAAATTACAACCAATAAACATTTTTGCTTATACAATTAGAGTGGTAGGTAATGAATAAAGTTGAATGAACAATAATGATATGGCAACAATAACAGGATAATAGATACATATCAATATGAAGGAATAGTAGGATTTTTCAAGATATACGGAATTGGAAACCCTAAAATATGGCTGCACACTGTACAGCTCTTGTTGGTTCGAATCCGGACATCGGAAGATCATTTTCAATAAGGATAAATGGTGCACGGGTTGACTGTTCGTGTCCTGTTTTTCAGTTGATAATCCGAAATAGGTTAAAGTTCTATAATTTTGATTATTATTGTCGATGGTAGGATAAACTTCTTGGATAGCTTTATTATGTGGTTTTTTAGAAAGAATAATGTCTATCAAATCACCGTTTGATTGCAATCTGTTTTATGATATTGAGCTCTTTATCAAAATTTACTTCAGAAAGACAGACATTCACTAGCATGTATCATACTATTATATGCTTCAATCCTATGTTGATGAGAGTGTGTTCAATCATTATGAATAATGATATCACTAACGATTGAAGTTTTCTGTATGGGAAGATGTCCACATCATACAATTTCGATTATTTTTCTTACATTAAAATGTTACCATCATTTTGGATTAGGCGTCATATATCTCATTTGTGAGTGTACATCCCTTCAGAAGAAGCGTCACCTACTATCCTCTTTTTTGGAATATAGTTCATAGGCGAATCTTGCTAAGGAGTACGCCCTCTACCGTTCTCTAACATAACTAACGTATGGGCCATTGATTGCTTTGTTTACATTAGTTTGCGTGTGTTCTGTATGAGAAGTAGTTGTGTTTTAATTGTCTATAATTTTGTTCGAGAACTTCTATAAACGTTTGATTCATTATTGTTGTGTACCTCATTGTTCATCTTGAGCAAAACAATCCCGAGTATAGCTTTCATACTTTTCCAAAATCAGGACAGTCCAAATTTGTATTTGAAACTAATAATTTGGGAAACAAGGAAGTGATCGATAGAAGAAAGGTGTGGATTCATAACTTGAAGATTGGAAAGAGTGTCTGAACATAATGAGAGATTTCTCTACACTTCACTGAAAATTTACTTATATATATTTTCAAATCTACTTCTTGAGGCTTGAGGTCAACCATCACCTCACCGTTGTAAAAAGTCAAGTAGAAAATATATACCTAAATTTACCTTCGAAAGAACATTTTATTTCCAAAAAGTATGCTGGATTTTCTTTCAAAAATATCATGTTTTCGTGAGAATTCTTGTTCACAGTAATGATAAAAACTTACAGCTTATGTATTTTGGTATATATGAAGTTCAACTAGAGGTAGGTAGGTTATCTAATGTTGAACAGAGATAATATAGTCCTCAGTCGAAACACAATAGACCACTGAAAATTAAAATGTTCGAAAATAGACAAATAACAAAGCTGAACGTTTGAAAACTCGAAACGAAATGAACATAAACACCATTACCAAACAATGTAAACAATCAGCCAATGACCCATAGAGTAGTACCGACATTCGCCGTTCTGGCGCTACGCTCTTAATCTCAGTCGCCTATGTAGTTCGCTTTCTACCCGTAGCACGCCCAATCTTCCTTTTGATAATTCATAAAAAATTATCGATTTATCGATCACATCGGAAATATCGATAATATCGACAGACCGATAATATCGATACATTGTGATTATCGATAATCAAAAATCACCCATTCCTAATTAATCAGCCTGTATTATTTTCCTTGTATTGTTGTTATAGGTTCACAGGAACTGCCTCGTGAACACCCTGATAAAGTGGATCCCCGACGTTGACAACAACGCGGGAGAGCACTTCTACGTCAAGTACCGCATCAAGGGAGAGCCGGAGTTTACGAAATCCGCCCCGGAACTCGAAGAGGACTACTCCGTACTGGAGAACTTCAACGCCTGCGTCAACTACGAACTCATCGTAGTCGCGGTGGACGGGGAGTTTGAGACGGAGAGCGAGATGCAGGAAACGCCTGCCGTGATGTTCATGTTCAAAAGTTGATCTATTAAACGTATATGCAGTTACAATGAATAGTTATTTAACCAACTAGTGTATTAATGAGGGCGATTAATGATCGAGATATTTTAACGTGCGAGCGAAGCGAGTGCGTTAATGTTCGAGATCATTAATCGCCTTTTAATATACCTACAAGTTGGTTACACAATTTTTCCGTCGACTATATTTCTCATTTCTCCTGCAATGAAGAATACTTGGTTCGCCAATTCATCATCCATCTGGAAACTGCTAAGAATCACCCAGTAGCCTTGTTACTGACATTAGTGACATTTGACATTTGTCGAAATGATCAACATAGGAAATAAATTCCTTGTGTTAGAAAACATCAGGGATTAAAATCGTGTCAGAAACTTGGAAATGCGAACCCGTTAACGGAAAATCGTCGATGAAATCCATATTATCGATTTAAATGCAGATTCTGTAAGTCATAGCATAAACAATGAATGCACGCGGTGTATGTTTGGTTGCCTATAAAACAATCGTGCATTAATAGACAAATCGTTTATTAATAGGGGTCATTAATGAACGATTTCATATACATTAAACTTAGTCGTTAATACGAGGTCGACGGAAAAGTTCATTAATAGGTCGCGTGCACGATGACCGACCCTTTTTTTCATTTGTTCACAGAGGAATCAAAGGATTGAAAAGGGTTCAAGTTTCGTTTAGCTGAAATCAGTTATGGAAAAACTGTTGCCATGGCGACGATCGTCATGGTAACGAGTAAACAAAAACCCAATTCCCGTGGTGAGGAAATGCGTGGTTGCCAAGTTGTATCGGGTTTGGTTTGGCTGAAATCAGTTATGGAAAAACTGTTGCCATGGCAACGATCGTCATGGGAAGGAGTAAACAAAAACTCGACTCTCGTGGTGAGGAAATGCGTGGTTGCCAAGTTTTATCAACTTTAGTTTCACAAAAGTTCTTGCTAGTATTCAAACAATAACTTGATTCGAATGAATACCCTTCTTATCAATTTCTTGAAGACTGTTCGTCGTTGATTAATTCCCAAATTACTACTTCTCTGACAATCATATATGGAAATAACGTCAGGAAAAATAGGCTCTGTTATTGAACAGACAAAATAGCGAGCGACAAAATAGTGCGGAACAAATAGAGCATAAGGAAGGATACTACTTTTTCTAAACAATCTAACCTAACTCGGCTTAAATGAACCTTCTTAGAAAAAACATATTTTTCAACATCGATCAGATTTGGTAGCAAGGCATCGTTCGTGTGTGTTTGAAGAATGCATAAAGAAGGACACTACTTTTTCCAAACAATCTAACCTGACTCGACTTGAATCAACCTTCTTCTTAAAAAACTATTATTTTCCAACATCGTTCAGATTTGGTAGCAAGGCATCGTTCGTGAATATTTGAAGACTGTTGCTGAATCAAAATGTGCGCGTGAAGAAAGGTATAAGTGCATCGAAATGAAGGCAAATGGAAATGTGGGTGGGCCTAACGAGATGTTTCCATCTGTATTAGACTGTACCTCGTAATAAATATTCCGTTTTTCCATAACTGATTTCAGCTATAATAAACCCGATACAATTTGACAACCACGCATTTTCTCACCACGGGAATCGGGTTTTTGTTTACTCGTTATCATGACGATCGTTGCCATAGCAACAAATTTTCCATAACTGATATCATCTATACTAAACCCGATACAACTTGGCAACCACGCATTTCCTCACCACGGGAATTGGGTTTTTGTTTACTCGTTACCATGACGATCGTCGCCATGGCAACAGTTTTTCCATAACTGATTTCAGCTAAACGAAACTTGAGCCTAGTTTTTCACAATATTTTGGCATACGAATCGTGTTTTTTGCGCTATTCATTAATTCAAGCATGCTTTCGCATTGTGCTGTTGTACAATGTACAAAAAATGAAGCAGCGAGTGACGAAGGAATATGATTTTTCAGGTAAATAGTAATCTCACATAGTTTTCATCATGAAATTTCTTATTAAAATTCCTTCTGCCCCTTCTGCAATAGAAGCTAATACTGCTAATAGACTGAAAATGTCTACAACACACACGATCATATTTCTTCAGCATGTCAGACCAGTCCTCCCATTTGATTGCATGAATCCAATCTTCTTGCATTATTTTAAAAATATCACGGGCTTTTCTATTAGCTCCTATTACAGAAGGAATTCCGATGAGAAATCAGATATAACCAAATTTCAAAATGAAAATTATGTGATTGACTTTAGTAGGTACTTACTTTCAAATCATGATATACCAACAGGATTCCTTTGTCTTCTGCTGCAGTTTTTGTGCATTGTACAACAGCACAATGTGGAGGCATCATGAGCGAATTAATGAAATAATTAAATAATTGTGAAAAACTATATTTAAATCACTTGCAAACATATAAAAAAGTGAGGTTGTAGGTAATACTCTGTATGATTCTTCATTCAATAAGTCTTTTTGTTAGAAGCTTCTCGAGTTTGTGTCCTCTCAACATTTGATTAGGTTAGGTTGGGTTTAGATACTTCCGAAAATCGTTTGACAATAGCCTACCCAAATATCGACCATACTCAATCATAAGATAGAAATCTCTAAATTTTTGTTTAAACAAGAACTCACCTGTGGAAGGTACCACACAATGTCAACAGATTTTGAAATTGCCCAATTAGGTTGACTGTGACTGCCCAACTTCATAATATTCGATCAAAATGTAGTTCTAGAAAGAAGCGCATGCGTCATACGAAATTATCTGAATGAAAATGCCCCATTGAAGATAATTATCATTTCCCTATGCATTCTTAAACGATCGAAGATTTCACTATTGTAATCGAGGAGAAATCTCAATTTTATATCAGATATCTTGTGAAAGAGCAAGTATGGGAACTAATTTAATTAATTTATTGTTATTATAGCACCTAGCATCCTTGACAAGGATCGAACATTTTTTTAAATATTATGTATGCGTAATTGAACACATTTGTTCTCAATTCCTGGCAAATTTAAATAGTTTTACAAGCGAAAGCAAAAAATGTAAAATATGTCCAAATAATTAAATTTATCTCCACTGTTTTTTTGTTCACTCATATTCTATTAATTATTATCATTGCAGTATACATTGAAAGAACAGATACTCAATTTGAAGCATGTTTGAAATCGAAATTTAGTTTGAAGTACAGCCAGATAGGAAACTTCATATTGACGTTCAAGGTTGAGGCAGTCAACAAAACTAACCTCTGTGAATGCCCAAATATCAATGAAAATTGCCTTAGACTCTGACATGAAAACGAGGATTATAGTTGATGATGAAAGGAAGATTGAACAGTTATATCACTATGTTGCTCATTTGCTATATGGTATCAAAACACAAAAAACCAGCTCACAATCAAGAAATCACGAAAACTGGCAGACATCAATTTTTCTGCAACCGACACAAAAATCGTCCATTTTAATGCTAAAATTAGCACTTGAATTGGCGTTTCTATTACTGACACAAACATATAGGTATGTTGCTAGGCAACACTTTTAGTTCCTAGGAGCTGAAGTGACGCATACCTGATTTGTTACTGATTTCGTCAGATTTGGCATTTCATACCTATGCTGGAGATATAAATACACCATTTTATAGTTTGTTTTGATCAGGAACTCCTTTAAGATTCACCTACTTGCTTGATTTGACGGCCAACAATACTTTTTTGTCTCACACGATATTGTTTATTTTTATTTGATTACCGAGCCAAACAAAGTGGAATATGGGGAGAAATGGATAATCGCTATTATTATTGTTGATATGCTCAACCAAACCTAAGAGTTTCCACACCTTTCTCCTATACCTGGCACTGGCGCGGTATTTGCTATTATGGCTGACGCCGGTGTCAAATGAATTCACCGATTCGATAGAATACATCACAATTGAGTCACTCTGTGGTTGTATTTGTATTGAAACTATAATTCGAACATCCTTGAAAATTGAATAAACCTATTCTGGTTGACTGGCTCGGCTTCGCTTATCAAACAAAGTGTCACTTTTGATCCTAATAAAACAATCTACTATTTTAAGTAGATGGAAATGAAGTAGCGGAGCTTGTGGGACCAGAACTCTTCTGCGGATTTCAGAAAAAAATAGAAAAGTAGAAGCTCAACAGAAATTAGACACCTGAGAAAATCTTCAAGGTCAGGAATATATTACTGGGTACTTATAACCATGAAAGATCGAACGCCTATCAGCATAAGCAAAAATAAACTGTGTACACTAACAGGGCACTGCAAAACTCAAGGGCAGGAAAACTAGGAACACGAATAATACAGGAGGAGTTTCCCTACCTCTAGAACCACTGTACATCCTGAAATTTCTGGTGGATAAATTGCTATAGCTACGGAGAACAACTTCAAGATTCAGAATTCTGATCACCCTGTATCTGTTCCAATTGAATGTCAGTAGATGGTGAATCGAAAGTTAAGATAGGGACATGTAAGCCGTTTTTATCGATAATGAATAGTTTCGACACAAAAAAATGTTAACATTGAAAAATCTCGATTTTGAACACCCTATATCTCTGTAATCATTCCTGATAGACACCAAGTGTGATGCATTGATGAAATCAGCTCGTCAGTAAGAATCAAAAAATGCAATAAAATACAGGGTGTTCCATTTGAAATAACGAAGGTGAGGTCTACTTCCGGTACAACCGAATCTACAGTTTTTCGTTGTGACACTTATTTGTTAACACCCTGTATATTGATCGATGCAGTTCCCAGAGGGACACCCTGTTATATGGAATATTCTTAAGCTCAGGTCATTTATTTTGAATGAATAGGTAGGAATAGGTATGTTTCAACTCACTCTTATTTATTCCTTTTTTTTTCTCTATTTTAGTATTTGAATACTTTTTCTCCCCCTTAGATCAATAGTCACAAATTCAGTCATCTGACCCTTGCTGTAAAACAATGTTTTTAGAAGCAATAAAGATATTATTATTATCATTATTTTTTTTTTGTATATCGCTACTTCAAAGTTGGGAACCAACTCCCCAGAAGTCGAAACTTGTGCGGGGTTAGGAAGAGCGGGACCTACAGCTTATAGTGGAATCCGAACCACTTCTAGGGCATCGAGGTGCTGCCAGGATTACAACCATGAATCACACATTTTAAAGAAAAATGCTCAGCCGATAGCCGGATTCGAACCGACAGTACCTCTGCATCGTGAACGGCTATCTAGCGAATTTCAGCGCATAGACAAACTCGGCCACGGAGCATGAATGAAAAGAATGAATGATACTTACGTTCGGGTTGTATCTGACCGGTACGGGCAGCCCGCCGTCTGCCCGCTCCACGAGCTGCGCCATTGGGGCGGCCGTGGTGACCGATCCCGGGCAGGCCAATTCGGGCGCCTCGTCGCTCGCGTCTGCGCACTGCGGAATGCCGTCGCACGCGTTGTAGATGGCGATGCATTCGCCGGTCGAGCGGCACTCGAACTGGTTACGGCTGCATTTGCGATCTACAACAAAAACAAACCATCATTCAAGGTATTGAAAAGGAATATTCTCAGATATATTCATGAACACAAAAAAATGTATATACAGGGTGTTCCAGACATAAATGTACATACGATACCTGTAGATAGAGGACACTTCGGTGGTTCCAAATCACCCCCCATCGATATGTATACCGTCTTTTATAACTGAGATACAGGACGTTATCTCGATTTTGGCAAAATCTTCATCTGGTTATAACTTTTGAACCACTTTGTATAATTCATCCATACTTGGTTGAAATATTCCACTTATATTACCCATCAAAACCAAATAAAAATTCGGATCAGAATCCAGGTCCGTCTTGAGGAAAAAGAGAAAACTTCTTTTATCTCAAAAACAACACCCTATATGGCAAAATTTTGTAGGTCTGTTTTGATATTTGGAAAGAGCGGAATAAAATGAAATAAGTGACCTACTTTTCACGAGTGCGCATCTAATTTGACAGATGGTTTATTATCATGTTTTGAAATATTCAGCTCCATTTCGAGGCATTTTTATTGAACTTATAATTCAAAATTCAATTTTAATACAAAAAAATAACAGTCTTCAAAGTTCAACATCATTAGAGTCAAATTAGGTGAACTATCGATAGATTTGTTGTGACAGAATCACTTGTCTATGGTATCATACATTTTTGAGGGCTCATTTTATTTTCCACTATTAATTCACGAGCTGCGGTTAAGTAGGCTGTGCAAAAAAAATCTGGTATTCTGACAGGTCATAGTATAAAATGAGTCCTCGAAAATTTTTAAAATCATCAACAAATTATTTTGTCAAACAAACAAAATCGATAGTTCACCTAATCTGACTCTAATGATGTTGAACTTTGGAGATTGTTATTTTTCGGTATAAAAATTGGGTTTTGAATTATGAGTTCAATAAAAATGCCTCGAAATGGAGCTGAATATTTCAAAACATGATAATAAACCATCTTTCAAATTGGATGCGCACTCGTAAAAAGTAGGTAACTTCATTCATTTTTCTCCGCTCATTCCAAATATCAAAACCGATCAATAAAATTTTGCCATACAGAGTGTTGTTTTTGAGATAAAAGAAAATTTTTGTTTTTCCTCAAGACGGACCTGGATTCTGATCCAGATTTTCTTTTGATCTTGATGGGTAATATAAGTGAAATATTTTACCAAGTATGGATAGATTAGACAAAATGGTTCAGAAGTTATAACCAGATGAAGATTTTGCCAATATCAAGATAACGTCCTGTATCTCAGTTATTAAAGACGGTAGACATATCGATGGGGGGTGATTTGAAATCACCGAAGTGTCCTCTATCTACAGGTATCGTATGTACATTTAAGTCTGAAACACCCTGTATATATATATACACCGTGTCCCAGCTAGAATGTCCCCCCCTGTAAAAAATTAACCGCGCGATCGAATGACTTGAAATGAAAGTCACCCAGTATATTTGATGATGCTCACTCGAATTATGCCATTGAATAAATCGTAGGTATACAGGGTCACACCCCAAAGTGCACCTCAACTTTCTCATTTGAATAGAGACACCCAGTATATTATTCCATATTCAAGTAGAGTTTATTATTACGAATTGAACAATGCCGGGTTTGACGGGATTTTTTCAAACGACTACGAAGATGTGGCAAAAAATCAAACGATTCAATAAAAAATGTATATGATTTTATTTATACAGGGTGGCCCACGGTCAATGGTACCTTAGACGTATACGGAAAACGGTACATTGGATTATCCTGAAAATTTGGTTACTCTAATAAGCGTTTGTGATCTAACGATTCAAAATATTTTCAGCGAAGCAGCGTTGCCACTTTTACCAAAAAGTAGCATCATCTTTGTTATTTCAAATGGAACACCCTGTATTTTATTGCGTTTTTAGATTCTTCTCGAAGAGCTGATTTCATCAATACATCACACTTGGGGTCTAGCAGGAATTATTACAGAGATATAGGGTGTTCAAAATCGAGATTTTTCAACTTTAGGATTTTTTGTGTCGAAACTATTCATCATATTGGTCAAAACGACTAACATGTCCCTATATTAACTTTTGATTCACTATCTACCGACATTTAATTGGAAAAAATACAAGATGGTCCAAGATTCAGAATTTTGATCACCCTGTTTCTGTTCCAATTAAATGTCAGTAGATAGTGAATCAAAAGTTAAGATAGGGACATGTAAGCCGTTTTGATCGATAATAAATAGTTTCGACACAAAAAATTCCTGTAATTGAAAAATCTCGATTTTTGGAAAAAATACAGGATGGTCCAAGATTCAGAATTTCGATCACCCTGTATCTGTTCCAATCAAATGTCAGTAGATAGTGAATCAAAAGTTAAGATAGGGACATGTAAGCCGTTTTGATCGATAATAAATAGTTTCGACACAAAAAATTCCTGAAATTGAAAAATCTCGATTTTGAACACCCTATATCTCTGTAATCATCCCTGCTAGACCCCAAGTGTGATGCATTGATGAAATCAGCTCTTCGAGAAGAATCTAAAAACGCAATGAAATACAGGGTGTTCCATTTGAAATAACAAAGATGATGCTACTTTTTGGTAAAAGTGGGAACGCTGCATCGCTAAAAATATTTTGAATCGTTAGATTACAAACGCTTATTAGAGTAACCAAATTTTCAGGATAATCCAATGTACGGTTTTCCGTATACGTCTAAGGTACCATCGACCGTGGGCCACCCTGTATATGAAATAAGTTTCATGTTTTCTCATGCAGAATCACCTCCTTGATTTTTTGCGCATAATTTTCGGACACCCTGTATATAGGATGAAACTGTGAGATTTCCATTGGGTATGCAGTCAAAGAAAAACAAAGTGTACTTTTGTTTCTGTTCAAGCTTTCGGGTCTTTATTGGCTCTTCATCAGGAACTCTATAAGAGCCAAACCTCTTCTTCTCCAAGATATTGAGCAAAAACTCAAAAAAAACGCAAAAAAGTCCGAAAATGTCATTGTTTTTTGTGTATACCGCCGCTCGCACAGCAGTTTGGAAATTGCGAATCTGGTTTTTTAATATTGGTTTAGGTCCTAACAACATCAATCAGAACGACCGGACCTTTTTCGAGTACGACCCCCTTTTCATGTTTAACTTTACTGAACTATAACTATAGCAAGTAACGAGAAAGAGAAAGATCGTCTCGTTCCTGTCACTTAGCCACATCGCGGTAAAAGCATCGAAATGATCAGTAGTCAGTTGTTTATCTGCGGCTGCTGAATATTCTGCATACTCTATCTCGTTGCTTCGTTGCTGGTATTTGCAATATTCATTTCTCAAACTGGCGCTCGGTATCGTATCTCTTACCCTGTATATTTCCCAATTTCACAAAGTGCGGATCCACATATCGGAACATGACTTCGAAACTTCGCAGGACTTCTCTGTTTTGTTGTGATGATAGTGACTATTTTGTGGGAACAGGAATTATCAGTAAGGTAATATACTGGGTGATTCGGACATTCAGACGTCACATATTGCTGAGTAGATTATTATAAGAAAATAGTTCAAACATCCATGACTTTATTTGACAAGTATTCAAGATTTTCCGATGACTTTTACTGAATATACGGTTACTGCAAGTTTCAGTGCCGCTATAAGAAAGCCAATGTGTTTCAGTAGCTAAACATTTTACTAATTTCAAACGAATGAGTATGAAAAAATAATACTTTATCCGATTTTTCATTGATACTTGAAGAGACGCATTGCTTTCGAGAAAATAACAATGAAAAACCTGATTCAACTTCAAATTTCTATATTACACTTCTGTTTCAATGTCTGAACATTCAATAATCGTAATCAATAACACCGAACATTCGTGCAATCCTCTATTCCATTCAAAGTAACAGAAATGCTCCTAAGGTGGCGTATGGAGTTAGTAACAAAGACTACACAGAACACATATGAGCTGAAAGACCTCTCGTAAAGTCGATGGCCAGGTGGTGTCATTTTTTCGAGAAAAAAAGTATCTGAAAATGGTTGAATTTTTGGCATGTTGTAGATAGGAATGAACTGATGAAAAAATCCAATTGACCTAACCTCCAAAAATTGACAGTTTTCTCGATATTGACCTCCAAATATAATTTTTTCAAGAAAAAAAATCTCTGAATATGGCTGAATTTCTGGTATGTTGTAGATAGAAATGTACTGATGGAAAAATGCAATTGACCTAACCTCAAAAAATTGACAGTTTTTCAATATTCACCTCCAAAATGTATGTATGGAAAATAAGATGAATGGAACAATAATCAATAGACAAAGTTGCTGTTTTCGAGTATTGGCATCTCATTCTTTTAAAAACAAATCTTCTTCATATGATACATCCACAGGTGAAGAAAGCCGAAGAGAGGATGTAATGAAATATACAGTGTGTCCCACTTATCATGCTCACCATGGGTATCTTTTTAACGGTGAGAGATACGGGGTCGGTTAAATGACACCAAATGTGGAGTTTGTCAAGGCCAACTTTATTGTGAAAAAATATTTCGATAAAATCTATTCGTTTTCGTTTTATGCGCAAAAAAACAGATTTTGGTCATTTTCATATCTCCTCCGTAACTTCTTTATTTATGAAAATATTCAAATAGGAGTTTCACATTCTCATGGCAGTTTTTCAAAGTGATTTCGAAAAAAATATGAAATTTATACCAACTCTTCTAGAATTTGAGATATCAGCACCAACTTTAGTTTTTCAAATGTTACAAATATATTTTTTTTCTCTTTCGGCATAAGGCCGACCAAAATTCTTTGCTAGGTGGTTCTTCCTTTGGCGATTTATAACTTCCGATGGACTAATTTATGAGATGAAACAGTGCACTTTCTGCTATTGTCTAGGAGGTAGTAGGTACAGACTGACGATAGGTACGAAATATCTTTTGTTTCTCTAAAAATAGCGAATGAGAAGCACATCAATCATCGATTTTCAGTTTGAAACAATCATCCATATCGTTCTCACGGTCTGGT